ATAGGCCCGGGGTATGAAAATTATGGGGACCAAAATCGTACTAGCATGTCACACGAAATGCGTTATGCGCCTGATTGGCTCCTGATTGCGTGATGCGTGCGCGCGCCAATCAGGAGCCAACGCGCGGCCGCGTTATCGCAGGTGACGCCGGGCTGCTGCGCCGGCAGTCCGCCACAAAGCCTCGTACTGATCGCGCATTTCTCTCATTATTGTATTTTCATATATTTGTTAGTCGTTTGTTTTGTGTCTCGTTAATTTGTTAATAATCTGTAGTGTATCGTGTTGTCGTAATATAGAACTATTTCTCGTATTGTTTCGTTTAATTTTTTATATCCAGTAAACTCCAGTCGTGCGTCGGAGCGGACACACACACTTTTTTTTTTATATGAAAAGTTATTATGAAATGAATAAAATAAAAAGAAATGGGATAAAATATAATCTCAATAAAAAGGCGGTCATTTACTGAGATTTTTTCAGTGGACTTTTTGTAGGATCCCGACAAGTTACGTTCAGCGGTTTTGTGTCATTTTCCCACATTTGTACACTTTCACAGATACTAAACAGTTAATAAACCACCGTTATTACACATTTAAACCTGAAGAAACACTACAAAGACAAAATAAAAGAAATCACACAACTACACTCCTCGCGTGCCAAAAAGTCCTTTGTTGAATTCAATGGGGGGACCGTTATAGAGTACACTGGAGACTGCCGTATACCCAAGATGGCCGACATTACGTCATCGCGTCTACGCGCGGGGAGTTGGGGGGGGTGGACGTATGAACTTACATTCAAAAACTCATGTGCAGCGCCTATCTTGGTGTGTATCTGACTTTGGAGAGCTTTAAGCACGGTGATGTTGTCCTTCTCGCCGCCGTCCTCCACGTACGACGTCAGCTGTAGAACCCTGAAATTTGAGGAGAGCTTATTGAAGTGGAGCGTATTTAAGCAACTTTTCCCTCCTTTTTATTCCTATTGCAAGGTGAATGGAAGAAGACCACGAGGTAGAGGGCCGACACGTTGGACTGACCAGATCCGCACTACCCTCGACACCACAGTTCACGATGCTCTACACTCGGCGGCAGATAGAGGCAAATGGCGTGGAATGGTCCGTAATAAACTCATGTTGCGAGGAGGTGGTCACGACCCTCAGTATTGAGGAAACCGAAGCAAGAAGAAGAAGATTCGCTGGTAGCCTAAGTGGTAGCTTTTGCGGTAGGCAGCGACTTGGCTCTGCCCCTGGCATTGCTGAAGTCCATCAGGTGGGCCGTATGCTCGTCTGCCTACAAGGTCAATTAAAAAAAAAGTGGGTATTGCAGCTAGTCGTCGATCGAGCACGTCCTGGATCTGACTTAGAGTACAAGGAGTCTTCGATTACCGTCAGTAAAATGCTGTTAGCATTTTCCATTCAGGTCTTAGAGAAGTTGATCTCCGAATGCTTGAAGCTTATGTTTTTTTTTATTGCTTAGATGGGTGGACGAGCTCATAGCCCACCTGATGTTGAGTAGTTACTCGAGCCCATATACATTTACAACGTAAATGCGCCACCCACCTTGAGATATAAGTTCTAATGCCTCAGTACAGTTACAACGGCTGCCCCGCCCTTCAAGCCGAAACGCATTACTGCTTCACGGCAGAAATAGGCGGGGCGGTGGTACCTACCCGTGCGGACTTACGTGAGGTCCTACCACCAGTAAATAAAACAGCCTTATCTAGATAATGGCACGATTCAGTTAAATATCATCTATTCTATGACAGCCACCTTACAAGCGAATAAAAACATGTTCATTAATAATATATTTTTTATTGTCCTTGTAGGCAGACGAGCATACGGCCCACCTGATGGTGAGTGGTTACCGTCGCCCATGGACTTCAGCAATGCCAGGGACAGAGCCAAGCTGCTACCTGCCACAAATGCATATCTTAATAATTCCTCCAACGCACCTGATGATCTCGTGGATCTCATCCGCCATCCTCTGCGCCAGGTAGTTCCTGTTCTCGGCGGCTTCTTCCATGCCCTTGCCGCCTAAAGCAAACACAACTTACGTTATTGGGCACCTAAGTCGTCATGCCCTAAAGGATAAGACGTCCGGTGCATTCGTATGTAGCGATGCACCGGTGTTCGAATCCCGCAGGCGGGTACCAATTTTTCTAATGAAATACGTACTCAACAAATGCTCACGATTGACTTCCACGGCGAAGGAATAACATCGTGTGATAAAAAATCAAAATCGCAAAATTATAATTTGCTAAATTACTGGTGACAGGAGATCTTGTGAGTCCGTACGGGTAGGTATATCACCGCCCCGCCTATTTCTGCCGTGAAGCAGTAATGCGTTTCGGTTTGAAGGGTGGGGCAGTCGTTTATTTTAAAAACGGAGACATTAGAACTAATATCTCAAGGTGGGTTGCGCATTTACGTTGTAGATGTCTATGGGCTCCGGTAACACTTAACATCAGGTGGACCGTGAGCTTGTCCACCCATCTAATCAATAAAAAAAATCTGTTAAATCAGAGCAGGCACACATCGCGATTTGTAGGCTAATTTGCTATTCGGTTTCATTTGTCTACTACGGATCTTTAATATTGTTACGCCGGTAAGAGTAACGCCATCTATCGCTGAATAGCCGAAACGAATATTAAAGGATCTAGTATCATCTAGAACAAATCCAGAAGTACAACGCCATCTATTGTCAACACTAGCGGAAACACACATCGAAAATACTCGACTTGTGAGGAATGTTCTCGATAAATCTAGGGATGTCGTATCGACTATAAAAGCGTTGCAGAGATGGCACGCAGTCACCTGAAGCGAAGCGGAAGAAGTGAATTGAGAATTTTAAAGTGTTTGTGAAGTGTTCTAAGTGCTAATACAGTTTTAATGTGTACTTTGATAGAACTTTTTATTTATCCCGGACCCTAGCGCGTGACAATATGTTATCAGGCATGGACCTATGATGTTGTACAGACGTACCCTCGGTGAGGATGTGTATGTATATCTTCATGGAGCAGATGAGCACGGGCGCGAGCTGCTTGACGCTCTCCAGGCACTGCGTGAGGATCTCGGCGTGAGGGGGATGGGTCAGCTCCGAAGCGCGGGCCGCCACCTGGGGGGCAGGAGGGTTCGTCACGGAGTCCAGAGCAATGCTTCATTGAGCTTTTTTTTTATTGCTTAGATGGGTGGACGAGCTCACAGCCCACCTGGTGTTAATTGGTTACAGGAGGCCATAGACATCTACACTTACTTACATTAATAAATACAGGCCCAAATATAGTTACTTTACACATTGCTAGTAGGCCAGCAGGTAGTCTATACATTACCTAGGTAATTTCTATATTAATATTTTTTGTATATAGTATTGTATAGACTACCTGAATTATACAGATTGTCGGTAACATATATAAAGGACTATAATAAAACAAATCTTCATCAGAAAAGAAAAATTCTTTGGTTTTAAAAGGTCCGACTTTATTCCACTGAGGTGGTGCATCGGGTCCTCTCGTGCGTACCTCTCTGGCCGCCCTGGAGAGCGCCGGCGAGATGTCCCTCAGGAACTGAACCAAGTCCTCCATCGTGTCTATCACCTCGGCAACTCCGAGGTAATCTAGAACCTGTTAATCAAACTCCAAGGATTATTCGACTGGTGATAACCGGTGATTAGTGGGGAAATTAGGCAGGTAAATGGCCGATACAGACATGACGAGGGAACAATGGTTGGGGCTATCTCCTAGTAATGCTAGTCAAATTGTTTGGGTGCACTAGCCGATGATAAGTGGTTACCGGAGCCCATAGACATCTAAAACGTAAATACCGCCACCCAACTTGAGATACGAGTTCTAAAATCTCAGTATAGTTACAACGGCTGCATCGCCCTCCAAACAGCAACGCATTACTGCTTCACGGCAGAAATAGGCAGGGTGGTGGTGCCTACCTGCGCGGACTCACAAGACGTCCTACCACCAGTAAAATATATATAGATAGAGAGTGGATTACAAAGACTCACCTTTTTGCATTCTTTGACAATCTTTCTGACTTCGGACTCGTCGAAACAGAGGAGCAACGCCGATGTACCCTGCAGGATACCGCGGGACCCTTCGATCAGCTTCTTCCTGGAAACAAGGACATTTCACTTTTAAGATCATAGATATACAGACGAGCTTCAGTAATTTGATTTTGGATAAAAACTTCATATTTTTTTAAGCCGGAAGGCGCAATTCCATTGCTAGTGTTTCCAAACATAAAGTTTCTCCATCTAGTGTAGGAAATGTTTGGTTAGCTCTTGAGAGGCGACCGCAGAAGACCAAGTGTGGGTAGGCAAGCCACGACTTGAACCAAGAACGCACTGAAGATGATATGAATACACTGTTCATAGTGCCAATATTCGAGTGAGGCCTACCTAGGCCTATCTCTGAATATTAAAACAATTCACAAAAACTAGCCTCCGTCTTGAGAAGAACTGGCAAGAAACTCGGCAGGCATGTCTTTTTTTTATATATTATAGTTTTAAATATTAAATTACTTTTTTTTAATATTCATTTTTACAATGAGTATTATAACGTAACAATTACTATAATATTGAAATGCCCAGAGAGAACAACTCATTCCCACTTTGTGCAATCTTCTAGATAATCATTGACTTTATAGTAAGCTTTATTGCACAGATGTTCTTTAATAGTTTTCTTAAACCTATGTATATGTAGGTTCTGAACATCTTGTGGGATTCTTACCTAGCGGGCCCCGAATACGGATCAGCTCTGAGCATATCAGAGGCCTGCTGCAGCAGGGTGGCTGCCGTCTCCACGCGGTGCAAGGCTCCCGGCATGTCGTGCCGCAGGATCACATCGTCTGATGACTCTATGGTCTCGTGGCCAACCTGTCAACAAGGCACTTACAATTTATACACACAATACCTATCTATCTTTGTCTTTCATCAATCGTTTTTCAAGTATCAAAAGAGGCGAGATCATTTGACGATGAAACTTGGCTTGATTTTTCCAGTTTCATAGATACTCTGGTTCCGCTTTTGCAAACACTTAAATTCATCTCAAAATGAGCACAGTAAGTCGCCAAGTAATGAATTTTTTTTTTTATTGCTTAGATGGGTGTACGAGCTCACAGCCCACCTGGTGTTAAGTGGTTACTGGAGCCCATAGACATCCACAACGTAAATGCGCCACCCACCTTGAGATATAAGTTGTAAGGTCTCAAGTATAGTTACTTTCTTTTAGTAGTAAGTAAATAATCACGTTCTTGATTACCTACTTGGGGCGTTATTTTTTTAAACATTTTAGTTGATATCTTTTAAACCCCGCTATGCAGAATAAGAACATTAACGGTTCCTCAATAGATATTAAAAAATCCTATACAATGATCCAATTTTGGTCGAGTCTCCTGCACGTTTGTTGTGGGGCAAATGTCCATGGAAAATGGGCCGTCTCCTTTCTATGGCGCTAATGGAATCTGATCGAGAGATGTCTTCATTGGTCAACCGAAGTGACTCCACTTTTCACCTTAGGATCAGTCGTCATCAGTGCATACCTTGACGAGGTTGTTGACGGCAAGAGAGACGGCCTGCACAGGACGAGCCAAGTCCGGCATAGCGTTGCCATCTTCTGCTTCTTCATGGAGGATGACCAGTCGAGACACCTGGAAAACAAATCGTTTTTACCAAATTGAAAATGAACCATATTCAAACTCGTACATTGATTTTGTATTGGCGCAAAACAATGTCGAGGTCGGACATTTTTTTATTGCTTAGATGGATGGACGAGCTCACAGTCCACCTGGTGTTAAGTGGTTACTGGAGCCCATAGACATCTACAACGTAAATGCGCCACCCACCTCGAGATATAAGTTCTAAGGTCTCAGTATAGTTACAACGGCTACCCCACCCTTCGAACCCAAACGCATTACTGCTTCACGGCGGAAATGGGCGGGGTGGTGGTACCTACCCGTGCGGACTCACAAGAGGTCCTACCACCAGTGATAGATTTTCGTATTAAAAGTGTCCAATTTCCAAAAATATTCAAATTTTAATTAATATGCGGAATCATTTAATATCACTAGTATTTTTTTCTCATAAATCTGTCAAAAGAGCATAGTTTAGTTTTAGTTTTTTTTTACCTATGTTCTGACTACTATTAACAAAATTAACACAACATTTTATCTTACTTTAAAAGACAGATAATGTATCTGGTAAAAAATAAAAAATAAATGTTGCAAAGATGATTAATATTAAAAATATCACATGTTAAACCTTTAAAACACTCTCCTGTAAAATTAGTCATTTTTGAGATTATACATTTTTAATGCGAGAAGATGATTTATTAAAATGGGAATTAATACAATGCGATTCAGACTTCGTTCTCACATCTCAAGTTCGGCAAAAGCAAAATATTGCCTACCTTCGAAAAGCTCTATGACCACACCATATTCCTTCCCGTAGGCGTAGTAAAAGACGACTAATTCAGCGGAGAATGGCAGCAGCGTTTTCTAAGTACCTACTATACCAAAGGCGATGCGGCATATTGTGAAGCAGCATAGGTAAGTACCACCATCCTGCCTTTTCTGCCGCGAAGCTATCATGCATTTCGGTTTGAAGGACGTACCAATTATACAATATAATTGAGACTGTGAAATCATTTTCACGTTGTGTAATTCACATGCGCTGCGTTATTTAGCACCAAGAAGCCATGAGCTCATCATCATATCTACAGCAGTCCACTGCTAGACATAAGCATCTCCAAATGCCACTGAGCAGGCTTCCAGCTCTCAACCACCACTTCTCTCATCGAGCTCTTGCCAACCACTCTACAATCTCACTCCACCGACCCACAAGGGTACTGTAGGTACCAACTTAATTCACCAAATCGCGTCATGAGCTCAAGCTTAATAAATTTATTCCTAATCTAATTCAACACCCAATTCATGAATTTAAAGAAATATAAATTAACGTTCTAAAAAATAAAATAAATAAAAAGAATATTTTACTTGAATTATTATTTATGTAAATAAATAAAACATTTTTTTTTATTGCCCTTGTAGGCAGGCGAGCACACGGCCTTCCTGATGGTGAGTGGTCACCGTCGCCCATGGACTACAGCAATGCCAAGGGCAGAGCCAAGCCGCTGCCTACCGCTAATATAAATATTCAATAGAAATATAAATTATTTATTATAAGTTTTCGTTCAAGTTACATATAATAAATCGCGGGTTCGAATCCCGCCAAGGGAAGATATCTGTATGATAAATATAAATATAAATATCTTTTCCAGGGTTATGGATGTGTATTAAATATATGTACGTGTATAATAAAAAAATCTTACATTTATTTCCGTTATCTGGTACCTGTAACACAAGTTCTTTACGAACTTATCACGGGACCAGTTAAAAAAATAAAGGATCGCTATTATCAAGACACTCCTTCTTGCTACGGAACGACCTTCACACTCGAACGTGAGATAAAATGGCTTGAGCAATAAGTACACATGGCAAGTTTGACTCGTATTGTTTGTTTTAGTTGGATTATCATAATTTTAATATTATTGTACTAGCTGTAACAATTCAATATCGTGATTTGTACGTAGTCAATATAATATGCGTGTGTCTCAATGGACGGTAAACGCGTAGGTATAAAATCGCACCTTTAGAATTATAGAGACCCTTTTCGAAATTTTTGGATTTCGTCTTTAATTCAAACAATAGACCTAGAACGACCTTTTTCAGCGACTCTTGGTAATCAAATGACCAGAAGTAGCTTATAAAGGGACAAAGCTATCCATCGGTCTCTTTCACTCCGTCCCCTTCCTCTACGTTTTTTCGGTTTGAGAACTTTAATCGATGTTTTCCAAAAAACCTTTTTTTTGAGTTAGGTCTTTATAATTCTAAAGGTGCGAAATGATGATGCAAGAGTTCAATAGCTAAGGCAGATAAAGAAATTAAGTAATAACGTGTCAGGTATCACGTGTTGGTAAGTGACTACCAAGATAAAGGATTAAAATCGAAAATGGATAATTTTCGTAATTAGAACACCCTGTATATTAAGCTCGCAAAGGATTTCACCATTCTGCCTAAAGGCAATATTTTTAAATATTTTTTTGCTTAGATGGGTGAACGACCTCACAGCCCATCTGGTGTTAGGTGGTTACTTGAGCCCATAGACATCTACAACGTTAATGCGCCACCCACCTTGAGAGGTCTCAAGTATAGTTACAACGGCTGCCTCACCCTTCAAACCGAAACGTATTACTGCTTCACGGCAGAAATAGGCAGGGTGGCGGTACCTACCCACGCGGACTCACAAGACGTCATACCAACAGTAATTACGCAAATTATAATTTTGCAGGTTTGATTTTTATTACACGATGTTATTCCTTCACCGTGGAAGTCAATCGTGAACATTTGTTGAGTACGTATTTCATTAGAAAAATTGGTACCCGCCTGGGATTCGAACACCGGCGCATCGCTCAACACGAATGCACCGGACGTCTTATCCTTTAGGCTACGACGACTTCAAACTATAAACTATATACTATAGTTAGCCCATAGTTAGCTCACAGCTCCTATAGTATCAATCTAAACATTTAACGTGCTATACTCGTAGTACCAATACATGAAATAGATATTACAACAAATTTTAAGAGCTTTCTTTATGAGTGAGTATGACTTTTCTCACTATACGATTCCCAAAAAGAAATCATACTTCAAATCAACGATCATGCGATAGCGTCCCACCCATTACTTAATACCATTTCGACAAAGCGGCAAGACACGAGAACCCTCTCATCGTGGCCGCCGGTAACTATATTCCCGATCCTGCGGACAGAATGAAAAGCAGTCGACGTCGCCCATGACACGTCATTTCGGATCCTCCCGATCCACTAACGGTGCTTCTATGTACCTCAAGCACCGGTCATCGTTCTCGTCGAACCGCTAGTTAAGGTTACGCTGAAATAGCCTCTCAAGGCTATCAGCATAGTAAGGGAAAGAAAACTTAATATGAATCGGATAACATAATCAAATCGAATCATACAACACATCGATAATTAGAACATATTATTACAACATGACTAAGTGTGGGCACGACTGCTTACCTTATAAGGGGAGCTACATTCATTCATAGAGTTTTTTAAACAGCTTCAAGTCACGTAGGCTACGCTTTCTGTTTCAATGGACTTATTTAAATAAATAAAAATCGTGTTCTGTGTCAAAAATTTAATTTCACCTTCCAATTCGCTTTGCCGTACCATGATTTTCTACGCGTCTCTTGTGAATATATCTCCGAAAGATCGAAAATGTGAATGTTTCTAATTATTTTTTCGTAGAGAAACTCCAAATAAACATCAGCATATTACAAAAATATTACATGAAGTGTTCCTTTTTTTTTCTTACGTAAGCTGATGGTCTAGAGTTCTAGAGAGACCATATCAGCGTAACCTTAACTAGTAGGTGAGCTCGCGGGGCTCAAACCTGACGACGTTGCTAACACGAACCCTTGCAAGAGTCGTGCTTCGCAGAATCTACCACCGGATCGAAACGCGACCCACTGAGAAAGTCGGGCGAGAAACTCAGTGGGCTGTGTTGTGGGTTAATGTACTTGCCAAGCCCTTCGTCGCAAGCGACGGGTTCGACAAGAACGATGACCGGAATTCCTAATGATCAACCATTCGTATTATATAATGGCCAATTGAAACCGAATCTCATCTTTCCTTTTAACGTTTCACTATTGCGGCAGTTAACGAGTGTGTTCGCCAAGCCTCAGTTCTCGAACTATGGACAACAGCTGTCCATGCTTTAATAAGCCAGGATTCCCCATGACCACGACTGCTCGGCCAAGAATAACCGACTATGATGATGACTGTGGCAGTAGGCATAGAACACAAGGTATTTGACAGACGCCTTAAACTCACTAACGAGATTTCGAAGATAAGTTTCCATATACACAAGCTCCGAGCGATAACATTTGGACTGTCTGTCTACAGAGTCTTTCCACTCACTCCACATGGAGAGGTGAAACGCTTTTGGTTTAAGCGGCATTTTTTGTAACGTTACAGGAGAAACATTTAAATTTAGGTATCATAACAAAAAATACTTCAGTTATTACAGTGGAGGAAATGTAATTGAAGTTCAATTAAAAACATCGAACTGGGTGGGTTACGTTGTAGATGTCTATGGGCTCCAGTAACCACTTAACACCATGTGGGCTGTGAACTCCTCCGCCCATCTGAGCAATAAAAAAAACATCGAACTGTTGATGCTAACACCAAATAAAATATGCACCTTTCATCACACAGACAAATGTCGTCTTTTAACCCCCTATATAAGATCTTCCCTTGTCGTTAACCTCCAAATTATGTTAAATGTAAAATAAATCGTTTCACTTCGGAAGCTTATCTTAGCACACACCCCACAATAATACGATTCAGCTTTAAGTACGACCAAGGCTATAAAAGCTTAACATAAAGGTAGCCAAATACCACGCCCTTTTCAATGCGGCAAAAGCCCGACCCTCCATTCATATCTCAAGGGTAGACATTACAAAAGTCGCGTGAAGCTTTTTTTATTGCTTTGATGGGTGGACGAGCTCATGGCCCATCTGGTGTTAAGTGGTTACCGGAGCCCAATGACAATGTAAATTCCGCCAGCCA